TTGTAACCTAGACTCCGGATTTTTAGCTCCAGAGAAACAAACATTTTGATCAAGCTGTCTACATTCACCACCCAACTTCCTTGCCTCCTACTCACTCTTCAACCAACTAAATGGGATTCTGTCCCCACTATTCCTCCAAGGCTGTCCTTTTAGATAACTAATGGAATTCTTGCTTCTATAAGAATAGACATATCTGGGCCCTTATACTTCATCTCTCCAGTAGAATATGATATTGTTGATCACTCTCTCACTGAAACTCTCTTTTCATTTGGCTTCCATGGTTCTACTCTCCTGGATTTCCTCTTACAACTCTGACCACACCTTCTTGGTGGTTCCTTCTCTGCAATTCCTTGAATATTAATACTCCTTAGAGTTCTCTTCTACTCATTCTATATACCTTCCCAGCATGGTCTCACCTATTTTGAGGCTCCAAATAACATTTTGACGCTGACAACTCACAAATTTATTGCTTGACGTGTATCTTGTCTGAGCTTCATACTCATTTATCCACTTGACTGTTGGACATCTCCATTTGGATGATTCAAAGGTATGCAAAACTCCATGGATCCCAAATGTGTCATCTTTCTCCCCACTCCTGCATCTTCCCCAAATCTATCCCCCCTCTTTTGCTCCCTCTACTTACAGGGATTTGGAGTGAAATAGATTTGAGTTTAAATCCTTATGGGACCTTGAATCCACTTGGGACCTTAGGCTAGTTACTTAAACTCTCTGTGCCTCAGTTTCCTCATCTACAAAACTAAGATAAATGCCTCCCCCCCCCCCGAGTTGTTATAGGAATAAATGAGAAAAAACATATTAAGCAGTTACAGCAGTGCCTGGAGCTTAGTAAGTGTCCAATAAATGGAATCTATTGTTAGTTGTTATTATCAGCCAGTAAACCAGCAAATCCTATTGATCTAGTCTATCCGATTTACTCCATTCTGCCTGCTACCATCTTTGTTGGAACCCTCCAATCCATGTGGCACGCAGTACATAGATCTGTCTAAAGGAGCGCCCCAATACACGCCCCAGCCACCATTTACTACATCACCTTGTTTACTTTATTACGATAAAAAATTTTCTTGTTTGCTTATTTGCCGACTTGTTCAATGTTTCTCCTTACTACAACAGAACTACTTGCGGGTCAGGGCTCCTTTGTCTTGTTTGCATCTCTCTGCTCAACATCACACACATAGCCTGGCTTCTGATCATCTCCCAGCCTCATCTCGTACTGCCACTCCCATCTAACTCTAAGCTTCTACCATACAACTCTTTTCAGCTTATGAATTGCCAAGGTATCTCTTGGCTCTGGATCTTTGCACAGGCAGATGCCTAGAACACTCTTCCTTCTACCAAGACCACCCCCTTCCCCAACCCCTCCTTTACCAGGCCAAATTCTACTTTTCTCTCACTCTGCAAGCCTCAGTTTAATAGTCGATTCCTTCAAGGAGCCTTTGCTGACACCTAGGCCCAGTCTACTTTAGGTGGCCCTATATTCTCAAACACTGTAACTCCTCTATCATAGGACACATCCTTTGTATTGTAGGTGCCTGTTTATTTGTCTTTCATCCGAGACTGAGTTCCTGAGGACAGAGAGCCTTTTAGCCTTGTTCACCACTGTTTCTATAATGTCCTATTCATGGGTTTCAGCAGCTTTTGAGAATCTCGTGAAAGCTATAGAGCTTTTTCTCAGAAAAATATGAGTATATACTGTTTTGCACTCAATTTTCAAGGGAGTCCATCCATGGATCTCTTAGCATCTCCATTAACCGCAAATTAAGACACTGCCTGACAGAATGGTTGAATTTATATCATTAGGAATGTATTTACTTATTTGGACAAATGCTTATCTCCTATTTACATTTAAGTATTTTAGGAATAAGGATGTTGTTAAATCAATCACTTAAACCTTAAATGCAAGAGCTTGTGGACAGGAATGTAGAATACGTCCAAGAAAGCCTGAATGGACTGACAATCCAGGCCCAGAAAGGACAATGGATATCTCACTGGACATCAGCGTGGGCAAATGACATCAAGAATAACGGCCTCCAAGCCCTGCACACATCCCTCACGTCTTTACACTATATAAGCCACCAGGGGAAGGAGTGGGGAATCTCAGAATTCACTCAAGATTTTTTTTTAATCTCAAAACAAAAATTAAGTAAACAGAGTTAAATATTTTTTTGCACTCTGGAGTTTGTGAAGGGAGATTCAGCTGTGAACTACAAATGTAAAGTCCCCACCCCACATCTCTAGTTCCATTCTCCAGGGGAAACCACTAACAGTTTTAGATGAACAGTTTCAGACACTTTCCACGCATATACAAATATATGTCTATGCCTCTTCCACCGCCACCCTTTTTCGTTGCTTTACACAAAGAGGGTCATACTTGAGACACTATTCTGCACTTAGTGTGTCCTTGAAGACCTTGCCACATTGACACATTAACACCCGTCTCACTTCTAAGTTGGCTGTATGATATTCTAGTCTGTTTAAGCACAGCCAGGGTTCCGATTACTACAAACAGTGCTCAGGCCACCGCTGTTTGTGGCAACCATTCTCTCCTTCTAAGGGGCACACAGACCAGGGAAGAGACTCATTCTCACTTAGTCTCTTCCTCCCTCTTCCGGTGTCCTTCTACGCCCTGCCCCTCCTACCCCGCTGGCTTCCTCATCTGCCCTTCTCACTTTTCCTTCCACACACATCCTCCAGGAGCTACAAGGCAGGAGCCGGGCAGACAAACCCCACTGGCGCTCGCCCCACCTGAGCCTGGGACGAGCTCGGCCCTTCCCCCCGGTTCTCGGCTGCCAAGCCCAGTGCCCAAGGCCCCGGACCAGGGCAGCTTCTACCTGCACTCGGACCCTCCCCGGCGCCAGCCGGGTCTGTAGAAGAGAGTAGTCTGACGCAGCTATTCTCGGCCCTCCACGGCAGGAAGCAGGAGGCGGGCTCTCGCTCCGGGTGGGACGAGTGGGAGCGGGAAGTGGAGCCGGGCGAGGCGTGGGGAGGGGACTGCTCGGGGGCGGAGCCGCGGGCCGAGCCCAGCGGCAGCTGCGGAGCTGCGAGCCGAGGGCGGGCGCTGTCCGCGGGAAGGGCAGATGCTGGACTGGCAGTGCGAATGCCACGGGTAGTGTAGCCTTTTTGGGGGGCCTGAGTTTGGTATCCCTTTTTTGCTCAACCTGGTTCTCCTTTCTCCTGTCCCACAGGCTTCCCCCTCTACCGTAATCCCCTTTTTATTACTAAATGTCCTCTCCTTTCTCCTGTTATATCTTCGAACACAGGTTCTTGAAAAGGATTTTAGAATGCTCGCTGCTTATCTGGACACCGTTTTCCTGGTGTCAAAGATATTGGACTCTTAATGCATCCTAAAGTTACTTTGTGAAAATAGAATTAAAAGGAGACAGTCTAAAGCAGGGGTTCTCAACTTTCCTAATGCCGCGACCCCTTAATACAGTTCCTCATGTTGTGGTGACCCCCAACCATAAAATTATTTTTGTTGCTACTCTATAACTGTAATTTTGCTACTGTTATGAATCGTAATGTAAATATATTTTTGTTTTCCGATGGTCTTAGGCGACCCCTGTGAAAGGGTCGTTCGACACCCCCCCCAAAAAAGGGTCGCGACCCACAGGTTGAGAACCGCTGGAAAGGACTGGCCTGTAATCAGGTGTAGATACTGAATAATTAAGGCAAGGTGAACTGAGAGCAGCCCATACCCTTCTGGGGGAAATCCTTGGATTACAAAGAATCTGTTTGGAGCCATCCTGAATGGCTAAGGCGGAACTGTTTCCCAGAAGGTGGGACCAGGCTCAGGAAAGAGACAAGTCACCTTTAGGATAGTAATGCTAGTGCTATGTCATAAAGAACAGGGTCAAACAGATAGCAGGAGAAACAGATTATCTGTCTTCCGGGAAATATCCAGGTAAACCACCTCTGCCTTGCACTAGAGAAAAATATCTCAACTGGCAAGATATTTATTTACAAAGTCTAAATTCAGCTTTTCTGTCCCCCCGGATGGGTGCTAAATGCATATTGCTAATATTTGTTTCTTTGAGTGCTGCTTTTTCTAACCTAGCCACTCTCTTGAGTTTAAGAAATTTTTTCTTCAGATTATTGTCTGATTAAACCAGGGAGTTTTGCCAATCAGAGCTGAGGAGGTATCCTGTTCCCCGCTGGGATAACTCTCTTAGAGCTATCTTATTGTTCTTATTTCCAAGTTCTTAAAGGATGACTCACTTTCTCCTCCATGTACAGCCTATACCTCTAATTGTTGATCAGTGGCATTGAGCTGCATTGTCCAACTGATGAGTTCAGTGTTCAGACTGATTCCTTTCTGGGGTGGAGTGCCATCCCCTCAGCCCTTAGAAGCCCCTTTCTTAAGGGCCTTACTAGCTATTAAAATTGCTCCCCTCTTCTGATCAGTTTTATTGCCTACTTCTTGTCCTCCCCCACTTTGATTCAACAAACATTTGTTAAGCACCTATCAAGTGTGAAGGATAATGTGTAAAATGTATAAAACATACCTTCTTCTGAAGGCTTCTTGCACGAAGGAGACAGACATATGCAGAAGTAACAAAATACAAGGCAGATTATGAGAAGAGCTATGTTCCACTAAGGGATAAACTACAGAGTTATGTGAGGAAGGGACCTTGAGCAACATCCTGGAGGGGATAGACTTTGAACTGGAAAGAGCAGGCTTCTGATAAGAAATGGAGAAGGGAGTGAGAGTCTGGGGAATATAATTGGCTCCACCAGATTTTTTTCCGCTCTGAATAATTATCTTTAGATTCACAGCTTGTTTCTGTTTAATCTAACCACTGCCAACTTCAAAGCGTCACACAACTTGAGATTATATGGACAAGCACTTGCTTGGTAGCACCTGACACCCGAGAGGAGCCCTTCCAGGCCATCTGAAAGCCACAGAACCCAATCAGCAGGTTACGTGAATTTCAGGGCTTTCTCCCTTCTGATTCCTCTGACTCAGAACACCCCTGCATTTGGTCTCTGGTCTGTTGACATTTACTAACATCTTTCTTCACCTTTCTTCAAGCTGTGTTTCCCACTGTGAGCATCCTTCTCTGACTAGTCTCCCTTCCCAGTAATGATAGATGAACATGGGCCACAAATTCTTTTCTTCTACTCCCATTGAGGAGTGGGGTCTGATTTCTCATTTCTTGAATCTGTACTGACTTAGTGACTTGCTTGACCAATATATGTGGCAGAAGTGACATGCTGGAGCTTCTGAGGCTAGGTCAAAGGAACCTTCTAGCACCTTCCACCCAGGACTCTGAAATACTCCTTCTGGGAGCTCTGAACTATCAAGTAAGTCCAATTACCCTACCCTTAGGCTGCCATGCTGAAGAGGCCACATATAGGTGCTTCAGTTAACCGTCTCAACTAAGCTCAGCTTTCCAGCCAACCTCACCAGGGCACCAGGTATGTGAGCAAAGCTGTCTTGAGCCCTCCAGACCAGCCCATCTGCCAATTGAATACAACCAAGTAATTTCCATCAATGAACATGGAACAGAATAATCATCTAGCTGAATCCTGCCTAAATTGAAGTGAAACCAATGACACCTAAGAGCATGAGAAATATAGTAAAATGGTTGTTGTTTTAAGTCACTGGGTTTGGGGCCATTTTGTAAGCAGCATTAGATAACTGGAACACTAAACCTGCAATGTTTAAGGCTAGTTTACATCAGATTACATTGTTGTTATCCTACTCTCCTTAAACCCTTTAAATCACCTAATTCCTAACATGATATAACTGTGCAATAGTTTCATGTAGTGGAATTGCTCATCTTGGGAGGCAGGTTAGCTGAGATAGATGCCAGTCTCTGTGGCATATGTATCTGACTGGACAAGAAGACTCAAATCCGTGCGATTGGTTACACTCCCTCGTTCATTATTAATTGGTATCATCAAATTAATCAACATCCAAACCAACCCATGGGTTGTATGCAGTGAAGTCACATTTCCCTAATAGCTGCACAGCCCCAGGTTAGGGTAAATAAGCCCAAAGAAACACTGTGGTGACCTATAAGTTTCAGTACTTCCTCCCACTCTTGTGCTCTGGTATCTGGTCTTTGTAATCAGAGAAATGGCCCTGTTCTTCAGCCTACAGAGGTATTGGGAAGAGGCCTTGACACAAAACAATGAACAGATTTAATATATTGTTCTCATATATTCGCCTGTCTTTTGCATAAAAATTTAATATAAACTTTCATTCCCTATTGAGACATTCGCTAAAGAGTATTAGCACTTAATAGCCCCTGCTGTCTAAAATTCAGTCAACAGGTAACTTTAGCACTTGCTCCTTGCATGTTAGCAAGCACATGTTTGAGCAGACAAAGTGGTCAGAGGCCATTTTAGATGGCAGCATTCTAGATTAGTAGCCACAATAGAATTTACCCAAATTAACTAGAGAAGTTACTTTGGACAGGCACTCTGGCCAACCTCATAATCAGAGTCCTAGCCTCTGAGTTCCCTTTCTTAGGCATACTCTGGAGGCTGCTGTGAAACCTGCTGGATCTGTGCAGCTATTTAGGTGATGAGGGGCTGGCATTGTTACATCAGCTTTTGGTAAACCCATAAAGAGCAAAAGCAAAAAATCTAGTCTGTAAGGAAGGGACTAGAACACATTATAATACAATCAGATAATCCCTTAGCACTGCCTCTTGTGAGGGCCTGGCAACAGGAGTTCCATGCTGTGGACTAGTGATTCTAGGGGCTCTAAACAGCCTGAAAAATCCCACCCATAGTTTGCTAGCCCCATTTTAGCAGTTGGAGACAAAGAGTTGTTACCACTTCCCTAACTGCACATTCATTTCTCACTGTACAGTTAGTCCAAAGGATTCAAATGACCTGCCCAGGTTGAAAAGCTGATCAGAGCTTTTCAGAGCTAGTCTCTTTATTTCCAGTCCAGTGCTTGGCCAGAGTAATGCCTGTTCCCTTTAACATTTTTTTCAGTATGATTGCCTGCAGAAGGCCACCTGTTAAACGGAACTATTGCCCTTGAGGCTTTTTTCATGAACACATTAAAAGAGCATGTCAGCAGTTCACAAGTCATTGAAAGATAGGGCCTGCCTCAGGAGTACAGACTCATGTCAAAAAAGCAATCATATTAAAAACATGATCGGATACCTGATCTCACATAGGATTTGAGTGCTGCCTCTGGGTGGACAGAGCATTTCAAAATAAACTTTGTATGTCAAAATAGTGGATTTAGGGAAACATTTTAATTGCTTGTAGAAATAATGAGACAAAATATGGGGATTAGGATAGTCCCAGGAGAACGGGAATATGCGTACTTGGCTACCATGTGAGTAATCCAAGATGGGGGTGGAGATGGCGTAATGTAGCATAGTAAGTAAACATGCACCCTGGAGTCCAAGAATCTGTGTTTAAATCCTGCCCTGCTATTGATGAGCTACTGTAAAGCTAAGCTACAGAATAAAGCAAGATAGGTAATCTCATAAACCCTGAATGGAGCAAGAGACTGGTCCTGAGTCTGCAGTAAGATCCAATGATGCTGGAATGGTAAAGGGGCCAGCCAAGGTCCTCCATTCGAAAGTTTCATCTCGTATATCATACTTATAACAATCCCTCATTCAACACATCCTAATAAATGAAACAAACTATTGAAAAGAATAACCCCTTGCTCTGGCTGAGCTTCTTTGAAATTCACAGCTAGTATGTTATAAAAGTTGGATGTTAGACTCCTCAAGACCATGTCTCTAAGCTTCCAATGCCATTGATATCCTTCTATGTTCCCACTTATGAGTTTCATGAGTAAAGCCTGCCCCCTCCATGAAGGTGTACCTACACTGGAGAGGTGGCATAATAAAGAAAGCTGGCTCCAAAGTCCTTCTATTTGAATTTGAATACATGCTTAACCTTACAAACTATGTGACCTTAGGTGAGTAAATTTATTCCTCTAAGCTTCAGTTTTCCTATCTGTAAAATGTGGATAATAATAGCACCCACTTTTTATAGGTTCTATTGGCGTTTAAATGAGATAATGTATATAAAGCAATTAGTATACAGCCTGGCATATAGCAAGCACTGAAACACTGTTAGCTATAATATAAAACAAGTAGTTCTTATTCTATTATGAGATAGTTGGCTTTCATCAGTGACAATTTGCTTGAAAAGTATGCACTGGGGCTCAGATTGCCTATGGTGATGAGTCAAGCTGGTAAATAATTAGAAGAACTCTAGCCCCTTAAATGCTTTGGTGGCAGCTGCAGTCCAAATGAACCCACATCTCCATCTCAGGAGCAATATGAGGCTGCAGTAGATGGAGCTAAACCTTGTAACCCTCTTTATGGTCCTCATCATCTCAGGGGCTTGTCACTACAGCACACTGGCCACCTTGTTTGGCATCATCTAGCTCACTGATCTAAAGGATGAGGCTTGAGAACTTGATTTACAGACTACCAAGGCACCCTTTTCCAAATGTGCCTAGAGGTGCATAAGACTATTCTAAGCTCTGGGGTTCATAACTGTAATACACTCTGATGTTTATAGTACCAGTATTATCCCTATTTTATGGATTAATATACTGGCATTCAAAGTGATTAAGGGACTTATCATTACCAAATAGCAATTGTTTTGGGGCTTGAACCCAAGTTACTGATTCTAATTCAGTATACTTTTAGCTATATGTATTTTTTATTATTCTAATTAGAAATACAGATTATAATGTCTTATATGCATATATATGTACATATATGTTTTTCATTATGAATTTGTACTAACTAGACAAACAGTTAACCAAGTTTGCTATTTGGAAGTTCTGAAAAGGCTGTGTGAAAAAGTTAGACAACCTCAACCTTTCGCCAACAATTCATGGCTCTTGCGTCATGACAATGCACCGGCTCACATGGCACTGTGTGTGAGGGAGTTTTTAGCCAGGAAACAAATAACTGTATTGGAACACCCTCCCTATTCACCTGATCTGGCCCCCAATGACTTTTTTCGTTACCTGAAGATAAAGGAAATCTTGAAAGAAAGACATTTTGATGACATTCAGGACATCAAAGGTAATATGACAACAGTTCTAATGGCCGTTCCAGAAAAAGAGTTCCAAAATTGCTTTGAAGGGTGGACTAGGCACTGGCATCAGTGCATAGCTTCCCAAGGGGAGTACTTTGAAGGTGACCGTAGTGATATTCAGCAATGAGGTATGTACCACTTTTTCTAGGATGAGTTCTCAAACTTAATCATCCAACTTTGTGTATCTATCTCCAGGAGCTCTGATAAATTCACACTTTTCTACCTATGACTCCTTGATTTCAAGGGTTAGCTAGGATTTTAATGTAGTCTGTGGCCCTGAAAGAGCAATTTTGACTGTCTTGCCTATGACCTAAACTGTGATGTTTGTCCCAGTCAGCCTCTTGGTCCTTATGTACAGCTATGTCACCTGGAAACTGCTCTCACGAAAAACCTTCATTTTCATTATTCAGATTGTGCCACTTGCTTTGGCTTCCTACACTTTATAAAGAAGGGTTTGAATTACACGATCCCTAAAATTTCTTAGTTTCATGATTCTATTAAATAATCTTTCTGTGCAGTTTTTTACTCTTTTGGTTGGATGCTGTTGCTGTCTGTCTGGATAAATAATGTTGTTGGTTTTGTAGCTAGTAGGATTTTCATGTGGCATTTTACCCGTCTTTTTTTTTTTTTTTTTTCATTTTTTAAACCTTTTCTCCTATCAATTTTCTGGGCATCCAGGGCATAATATATACAGTGAATTTGACAGACAAATATTGGGAGAACAGTTCAATTAGGTTTCTATTTCAATAGTTCAGAATTACATGATGAGTCAAGTGAATAAAAAAACATAAGGGGAAAAGAAGCTCAAGATGATTACAAAGATTCATGTCTAGGAATACGGGGAAATGATGGTGCCAACAAAGCATGATGAGCTGGAACTCATGATAGTGGTACATCCAAGTGGAGGTGGGGGCTGCTGAAAAAAATCAGACTTAGAACCCGGGTGGGTTATTAAGGCTTGAGATAGAGGAGAAGTAAGCTTTCTGAAGAGGAGCATAAAACAAGGTAAAAGGAGAACGTGGACAACCCAGAATTAAGCGTAGGAGACAAGGGACCCATATAGTCCAACACACTTAATTGGTACTAAACAGTATCCTGCGTGCCCAGTCTATCCAGTTTCTTGGTCAATCTTGGAAAGATGGGAGTGAAAACAGAAATTCTACCCTCACTCACAAAAAAGTTTGAAGGAAGAGTGTGGGGGAGCCAGTAGGGTAACATCTAAAACACTTTGGTTCATTTCGTGATTTACCAAAGATAAAAATCCTGGGCCTCTACACCCACACCAAACTGTAGCCTAATCCCTGGGTTGCCATGATTTCCCAGTCTGTAGGAATATTTCTGTCTCAATTCTTGATTCTCACTGCACTTGCCATTTGGGGTCAAAATACTACCCTGAATCTCAGTCCACTTGGCTAGGCCTATATCAGGTCTCTCTCACTGAAAAGTGGACCATTAACCAGGGTCCTGTTTCAAATCAGAGAACTCCATCTTTCTTCTCACTCCATCAATTTTAAAACTAAATACTGAAAGCTGGAGACTTCTGCAGATAACAACTCCCATGTGCATACTTTTGGACCCTTGGCTGTCAGCCCCACTGGGATGGAGCCAGGCACTCTTGCACACTATGATTTGGCTTTCTGGAGAAATAAAAGAAGACTCAGGGAAGGATGCTATCACTGGATCCAGGGGAGGAAAAAATTTTAGGGTAAGAGCCAGTTTTCAAGCCAATTCCTGCAGAAAGATGAAGGAAAATGAGGGTGGCCTTAGATTGTTTGATTTGATGAGAAGTAGGTCACAGTGACAATGAGAGGGAGTGGTTTTGGTAATGTGGTAGAGACAGAAGCCAAATTACAGGGGATTTTGCGTGTTTTTCATAATAAAGGAACTCCGACAAGAATGATTTAATCATGGGGAAACCTTTATTTAAGACTGTCTTCATGTACAAATCATAAAGAACATGTTTACAGAAGTTTACCCTAAAGACTCAAACCTCATAGTTTTCAATGCCTCTAATTTCCTTCTTCCCTATCTTCTTCAATTTTTCTTTTCTTTTATATGTCCTACTTACCCCTCCTCATTTTCAATTATGCTCCTAAACAGAGATATAGAAAAAGTCCTTAATAAAATAATGAAATCTCAAAAAAAAAAACAAAAAAAAACAACCCACAAAAACATGTCAAGTACCTCCAGGACCAGGATGAAAAAAGATGCAAGGGAGGTCTTTCATCTCACCCTTAGGAGCATGAGAATCATAATAAACAATGGTAATAGAAAATTGATTTAGGCAAAGAACTGGCCCTTCTTTGCCCTAAGCTGCTTAAGGGTCAGAAATGGAAATACCAGATAGGAAAGATTTAGGGGAATTGTGGAGGTGGGGAACATACAATCACTAAGTGAAAGCCGTTGTCTTCAGAAAGCTCCAGAGAAGACAGTAGGCTGGCCACAGCAGCAGAATTTTCTGAAGAACCGTTGGAATTCTAACATCCCCTTTGCTATGGAGATACAGGGCCCCACATTCCCCATTTGCTTTCCTTCTCTGACTGGAATCCCTTCCTCCTTCTCCAACTCGTGAGTCAGGAAGACTTCAAGATTAAGTTCCAACCATACCCATCTGATGGTGATGTCTTCCCTAACAGAAGCCTTCCCTGGGCAGAGTTCACTCCTCCATCCTCTGGGCTCTCATACCTCATGAGGTATGAGGTAAGTGTCCACACCTCTAAATCCACTGCAAAACTTGTATTTGTGTACAAGTCTGTCTGCTGATCAGGAGTTCCCTGACCTTTGTATCTTTAGTGTCTCAAATACAGCCTGGCACATAGTAGGTAATTTAATAACTGTCAGGGAGAAAGGAGAAGAAAAAGAAAGAAGAAAGACAAAAAGAAAGAAGAGCAGGGCGGAAGAAAGGAGAGAGAAAGCAGAGGGGGAATGGATTCAAAAAACTTTGGAGGAGGGGCTGCTTGTCAGCTCAGGTAGTTAGAGCTCAGACTCATAACACCAAGGCTGCCGATTCGATTCCTACATGGGCCAAGGAGCTGCACCCTCCACAACTAGATTAAAGACAGCGACTTGACTGGGAGCTGATGGGTCCTGAAAAAACACACTCTTCCCCAATAAAATTTCTTTAAAAAGAAAGAAAGGAAGGAAGGAAGGAAGAAAGAAAACAAACTTTGAAGGAAAGAAACAGAAAGAGGGAAAAGCAATTTTCGCAGTCTTCTCTGCCTCTCACATTTTTCTCTACCATTTCCTCCCATACCACAACTATCCTCTTTTCACTCCTAATCCCTCAATTCACCCCAAAGAGAAGGAAAGAAGCCAGTCAGCCTTCTGACCTCTTCCACCCCATTCCCTCAAACCTCATATCATCCCTTTCCCACCATGGTGCCTCCCCACTTTGCCTCTGCCCTCCTCATCTTCCCTACTTGCAACACTCCCACCTTAACGCCCTAGCATCTCAAGCCCTGTGCTGTCCAGATGGGAACTTACACCTCAGATTGAAAACCAAGAGGTTCTCAGGGCAGCCTGAAGTGTCTGGGCTGAGGAAATGCTAGACTGGGCCTACAAGTTACCTGAGAAAGAATATTGTCAAGAGGGTTCGGGTGTCCCAGGTATTGGAGAGTAGAGAGGAGAAAGTCCTGGAAAGGGGGAGAGCTCAACAATGACAGGCCTTCCTCCCACCCCCACCCCCTCCCCAGCTCCTCAAACTCATTCATGGGTGGACTTTCCACATTTTTCTTCTTGATCCATTGGTCAGGACCATTTTTCCAACTGTCCTCTCATGGCCCCCACACCTTAGTTACTGGAGCTTCTTGACTGTAATCTCAGCTAGATGTACTTTCCCTGCCAAGAATCATACCTGGGTCCCTAAACCTTTTAGAGTTGCTCCTGGGTCTGCTCTCCTAACCTAGGTATTCAGCTGCCTCCCCTCCCCCAATGCGCTTTCCCCAGGAATTTTGAAACTACCTTTTCCTCAATAAAGATACGTTCAAAAGCAGTTTGAGTTGTAAAGTACTGTACTAGAATAAATACTATCTTTCTCCCTCCATAATATCTGCTCTTCTCTTCTGATGTGTCCTATCCCTTCTTCCCCCCATCCACTGTCACTACCCCCTCACCCAGCAGGTTTGGTTTGGTGCCGTGTGGGACCCAAAGCTACGTGCTGCACAGTAGGCAGTGTCAGGATGCAGGCAGGCATCTCAGCACGAGGCCTTGGCAGAGTTCCCAGGCAGAGCCATCGGCCCAGGCCAGGAGAGTAAGCATGGATAAGATGGGAGATGGCATAAGTACGGTGGCTGTAGCCCCCCAGCACCAGGAGTTCTCCCTCCAGCACAGCACATGCAGCCCCAACATGGGGGGAGGGCAGGGATGCCAGGTGAGTCCAGCTATCAGTCCTTAGATCATAGGCCTCAAAGCTCAGCAGGTCCCCACTCTCACTTAGCCCACCTGCTACATACAACCGCCCACTCAGAGCAGCCATGACATGGCCAGCCCGAGGCACCCCCATAGGGTTCAGCAGTGTCCCTGGCTTCTCAAGTTTGGGGTCATAGTGCAGCAATGAGGTCAGGCATTGGTGACTCCTGTTGCAACCACCGCTGATGTACAATTGACCCTCCAGAACAGCAGCTGCATGGGCAAAGCGTGGTGCTGGAAGTGCAGGTGCTGGCCTAAGGCAGAACAAGGCACATGATCAGGCAACAATCATCCTCAAATCTGCTTCTCCTCCAAATCCCTCAGCTTCTCCTTGATGCCTAGAAACAGCCTCTCCCTCTTCCCTGCTCACCTCCAGACATTGAGCTCAGGGTTATAGGTCTCCACAGAGTCAAGGGCAACACCATTGACTCGTCCACCCAGGGCATAAAGTAGTCCATCCAGTACCACCAGGGGGAAAAAACTCCGAGCCTGGCGCAAAGGTGCCATCTCTTCCCAGTCCTCTTGACTAGGTTTCCACCTGGATACAGTGTAACAAGAGATGGGAAGAGTGACTCTGGGAGCCTGGTTGGCTGGACCAGCAATTTCCCTCAGCTGTCCACCTTGGGGCCATACCTGAGAGTCGAAGCCAGGATGTTGGAGTGGCTGTAGAAATCCTGTCCCCCACATACGTAGAGTTCACTTCCTGCTAGGCTCACAGCCCCATGCCGAAAGCGCCCTGGGGCCGGCAGGGCAGGCAGCCGCCCCCACTCCACAGTTCGAACCAGTCCCATGCCGCAGCAGAAGGCCCGGGCCCACCACACTCCTCGGGATGGCTGTCTTACAGCCATGTTTGAGCTGAGCCCATCCCCGCCAATCACTACCAGAGCCTGGTTAGGCTCCCTCCGCCTCTGTTGACCTGGAATCTCAGACTCCACTATCAGCTGATGCAGCAAGTCCTGAGACAGGGGCGGAGGCAACCCTGCTGCCCGTACTCTCCGTAGCTCCCTGGTGGACATACGGCCAAACCGGACACATCGAAGCAGGGCCTTGGCCTCTGACTCCTGGGTCTCAGGGTTGGCAGCTAACCAACACCGTGCAGCCATAAAGGCCTCTAACTCCTCCTGCATGTGTAGCTCATCACTATCCAGGAGCTCAGCCAGGCAGGCAGCCGGTAAAGAAGGAAAAGTGGGGCACAAAACTACTGCAGGCAGGTGGGTGAGGAGGTAGTGACGGGCTTTGCTCCAGAGCCTCTCCAACCCGGGGACTTCAGCCATGGGGAACAGGGCCAGGCAACGGGCAGGGCTGAGGCCCCGTGCCAGGGCTCTCTGGCACAGAGCCAGGCAGGAGGCACTCTGGTACTGTAGAGCAGCCTGGGCAGCTCTCAGCAGTCCTGGCCACCTTGCTCGCACAACCCCAGAGTAGGCAAAAGAGACGAGGAGTCGCAGGTCCTGGGCAGAGATGGTGTGTAGAGACACCTCTGTGCCCTGGGATTCCTTCATCCCACTCAGGAACATGGCCCCAAAGAACTCGCTGCCACAGGCCAGGGCTGCTCGGTGCACTGCAAGAGGGAGAAGCAGAGGGGATCCAGAGTGTTGCAAAGTGCGAAGCAATATCCCAACTTCACAATCCCAACTTTGGACCAACCACCCAAGGCCACAGGTCAAACTGAGATGTACATCAGAATACCAAGGGGTGCTCGTTAAAATGCAGGTTTCAGGGAGCCAGCCGAGTGGCTCAGTTGATTAAGAGCTTGCTCAAGAGTGCAAGCTCTGAGCAACAGGGTCTCTGGTTCGATTCCTACACGGGCCAGTGCCCAAATTGAGCTGCCGCTGAGCTGCCAACAGGTGACAGGATGGCTCAGCTGGTGAGAGCACGTGTTCCTAACAAGGTTGCCTGTTCAAGATGGTGGGCTATGCCCTCCCACAACTAAGACTGAACTCAGCACCTTGAGCTGAGCTACCGCCCAGACAGCTCAGTGATAGAGCATGTCCTCTTAACAATGAGGCTGCCGGTTTGACTCCCACATGGGATGGTGACTACGCCCACCCACAACCAATTGAACACACAGCACCTTGGGCTGAGCTGTGCGACTGGACTTGAAGCTGAGCTTGCTACACCCTCCACAACTAAGATTGAAGGACAACTTGGCTGTTCCCCTTCCCCAGTTCCCCAACACTGTTCCCCTCCCCCAATTCCCCAATAAAATCTTTAAAAAAAAAATGCAGGTTTCAGGAACTCAACCCCAGAGATTCTGATTCAGGAGGTCTGGATGGAGATCCTAGGATTTTGTATTTTAACATTTTCAAGCACCCTGCATGATTCCCATGTTAGTGTCCAGAAGACACTTTCATAAACATTTTTTAGTCTTTTTGATACAGGTCAATTAGAAAGAGTCTTGACAGATCAAGTTGAGAAGATGTTATAGACAGCATTTGCTAAAGTGGGGCATAAAATCAACTTCAAAGACCTATGTGTAAATTATACATGTCTTTCTATATTGCGCACAGAATAAAGTTATTTCCTTTACAATTGTAAAAGCCACCGACATCAAGCATTCTGTTATCAGATTTTACTCAGAAAGTGGTTCCACACTCAGGAATGACTGTGACCCAACCTACTCTGATTGCCATCTCCTCTTGCCCAAGATCTTGCTTAAGATTTCCCATGTGTTCTGGCTTTCCTCTGCATACTCCCCTCCTCACCTTGGTATAATTCATGGAATCATGAGATTTTAAACTGGAAACCTTCAAAATCATCTAGCTCAATTGCTCCTTTTAAGATAAGGAAACTGAGTCCTAGAGAAAGGAAGAGATTTATTTTCTATTTCCATGCAGGAGCTGTCTGGGCACATCTTCACCGTCCACTGTCACTGACGTCAGGCTGCAATGAACATGCCGGTGTATCGATATCCTGCTTATCAGCATGGCCCTCATGACACTGAAATTGTTCTATTAACAAATGCTGTTAAACAACTATATCTCATATGCTTCCTATGTAACTTATGTGCATGTGTGGTATCACCCATAAAGTATTTTAACAGAAATTTTGACCTAAAATCTAATCAAGGCTTTAGATGGAAATTCAAGTTTATAGGAAATTAAGGGGCTAAAGGAACAAGTTAAACAAAATCATGAGGGAAAACACATACAGATGGAGCATTTTATAAGATAACTAGTCATGTTTCTTTAATAAGTCAAGTCACAAAAAAGGGAAAGAGGGCTGTACAAGACAGAGTAAAGGAACCTTAAGAGATGCATGTCTGAGTACAGCATAGTTCTTGATTGGCTCCTGAGTTGACAAACCAGCTCTAAAAGACATTGTTTGGACAAGTGAGAAAATCTCAATATGGACTAGGTGATATGAAGGAATTATTGTTAATTGTGTAAGAAATGATAAAGGTATTATGGTTATATGAGAAAAATGCCCTCTTTTAAAGAGACACATGCCCAACTATTTATGAGTCAAATGTCACAGATTTAGTCTAAACTTCAGCACAAAATAAATTAAATAAAGAGAGAAAATAAATATATTAAAATGTTAATTGTTAAATGTGGGTGATGGGTGTCTGGGTGTGCATCTTACTATTCTCTTTAGTTTGGTCTGTGTTTGAAATGTTTTATAATAAAGGGGGGAAATGCTGCTAGAAGTCATCTCAGGCAAATGACACAGGGCCAAACTCCCAGTGAGGCTTATGAGCCTCTGGTTGCTTTGACCATGTGTGGCACGTTCACTTCTCTCAAAAGGCAGGTTATGTTCAATACCAACATGGGCCAGTGAAGCGGCATCCTCCACAACTAGACTGAAGAACAAAAGGACAGCAACTTGTCTGTTCCCCTTCCCCGATTCCCCAACACTGTTCCCTCCTCCAATTCCCCAATAAAATCTTTTAAAAAAAAGAAGAGGCAGGTGATGTTGATATGGCTTTCCACTGCCTTTGTAAATAGTAGGTAGTGACTTGGTGCCTCCCAAGTGGTAAACATCAGTGACAGCTTTCAAATACATATTGCCTGAAAAATCTGCATTCCTCAAAGAAGGTAAGCCATCTCATCGTCCATATGATCAATCCACCTGTAGCTCAGAGCCAACCATAAAAGGGCTCACAACCACTTGTACTGTTCCTGTTACTCATCATTAATCCCTAGAATTTTAAGTGACAGGTGTCCACCATTAAGATGGAATGTTCCTTAGGGAAATGAAAACAGTGATACAAATATGTTTAAGTTCCAAACCCTAGTGAGAATTTTGTAACTACAAAATTTTAAATCCCCCCTCCATCTAGTGCTATCAGAAATGATAACAAACACTTTAGAGATCTGCTATGTATTAAGTGTTTGTGTCTCCCCAAATTCACATGTTGAGTCCCAATGTGATGGTGTTTGCAGATTTGTAGGTGGTGCCTTTGGGAGGTGATTAGGTATGAGAGTGGTATACTCATGAATGGGATTAGTGCACTTATAAAGAGACATGAGAGAGATATTCTCAATCTCTACCCCTTCCCTCCCCCACGCCAAGTGAAAATACAGTGAGAAGGTGGCTCTTTGCAAACCAGGAAGAGGCCCTAACCAGAAAACCAGAACCTGACCATGCTGGCACCCTGATCTTGGACTTACAGTCTCCAGAACTGAAAAATAAATTTCTGTTGTTAAACCACCCAGTCTATGGTATTTTTGTTATAGCAGCCCAAGCTTAGACAGAATGATTTTCCTTCTGAGAGTCCCAGAAGCACTTTGGGTCCCAGTCATTCCTTTAATGAGTAGTAGCTATGTGACACTGGACATTTCTTGAGGTCTGATTTCTTTATCAATAAAGTATAAGAGCTTAACTAGATAATCTCTAAACTAATCCCTTTTAATTTGAAACTTTATTTATCTGCATTCCAACTCCACTTGCCTGTTCCTGTGTGCTGTGGCTGCATGGGAGGCAATGCATGGCCTAGTAAAAGCAGACTGGGCTAGTGGATGTGGGCTTGTATCCTGGTTCTCACCAGTTAACATCTCTGAGCTTAATGTTCTTTGTCTGCACCTAGGAATAACGGTACCTACCTCACTAGTTTTCCGTGGGAATTAAAAGAGATGGCATATGTAACAATTCATGGTACCCAGTATCTCACTACATGTTAGTAGAATCTGAGTAACACTCAACTTATTCAACCCTCCTTAGCTTTCTTGGTGATAAGCAGAGCTAACTTCAAAGTGCCATGGCCTGGTAGCCTTAAGATTCTGGCAAAACAGTACCAGACCTTGCTCATTATCTGTAGGATCACATCTGCCATGGTGTCAAGCACACTTAGATGAAAGGACACACTAAGTTTTCCCACCACATTCCCCTGCTTTTTCCTGTGTTCTAAATATTAATAGAAGATGCCAGAAAGGGCCTTTGGTTAGTCCCTGTTCGAGTCAATCACTTTCTGCTTGTTCTACTGGCATGTGCTACACCCTTAGCTCCAGCCAGTTGGCAGGAAATTCCTTGTTACTGGGCACAAGAAGAGCCACAGTGTGGAGAGTGAGCTTCAATCTGTCAGAGCGCCTAGGAAAACAACTTAACTGCGCATGCCCCATTCTCAGTGGGTCAGGACAAGCACCAACAGCCACCCCAGGGAAATTCTGTCTGCAGCAGGGATTAAAATCATTATAGTAGGGATCAAACCATCTGCTGCTTGCACACCCTTCCCGTAGCATTTGCACCTGCAGTAATATAATGCCCCACAGGCCCTCACCCCACAGCCGGTAGCCGCCTGCCTCCAGCTCCAGGTCACACCCGACGCCCTCTTTGTATAGGAGCTCGATGCTGCGCAGGCTCTCCCGCAGCTCCTCGGCCTGGCTGGGCTGCTGTTCATCGTCCTGGGCGCTTCCAGCTCTCTCGCGTTTCCGCTGGGCCGCGGCCTTCACCCGGGGTGCTCCCAGGGCCTCAGCAGCGATCAGCACATCCTCCAGCGGGGCGGGACCCAGCACCCCCTCGTAGGCAAAGGTCAGCACGGCCTCCCAGGCCCTGGGGACCAAGTCGAGGCTGAAGAGGAGTCGCGGAGCAATGCCGCTCTGCAGCCTGCCTCGAAAGAGACTGCTAACCGCTGCCAAGATCACTCGATGCACCCCGTATACGCGTCCCCCGACCGACACCTCTTCATCCAGCAGCAACCTCTGCTCCCGCAGCCGCTGTGCCTCCGCGAAAAACTGGCTCGGGTGCTCCTCGCTGCGCAGCCCCTCGGGCTCCGCCGCGTCTTCACCGTCCTCATCTTCGTCCTCCCCTTCTTCCTCTAGGGACAAGGCTGGAGAGGGGAGGCTCCCTTGGGGCATGGATCTGGGGCCAGGCTCTTCTAGAGGAAAGGGGGGCAAACCGGGATCCTCGTCCGGGGTCCGAGGCCAGGAGGGAGTCCTCCGGCCGGGCAAAGGCAAGCCAAGGCCGTCCTTCTGTACGGGAAGACAGACGCGCCCCGGGTTGGAAGGACGACGTTCAGACTGCGACACGCTCATGGCCCAAGCGCACTGGGTTGCTGGAGGTGAGCAGAGGAAAGAGAGGAGGGGGTGCAGAAGTGGACCCAGCAAGGCTGGAGGAACCCCTGCCTCCCACCTGGCGACGAGTCAGTCCCTCTCCCTATTTCAAACCCTTCAACCACCCCACCACCACCACCATCTGCTGCCCCCAACCCCCGCACTCCACTCCGAGGCTTCAGCAGCCAGTAAACCGCGCAACTATGGGTTTCGCGAGGCGCAGCAAAGCGTGCAAGAAGCCTGTGTAAAGATCCACTCCCCGGGGCCAGACCCCTCCCGTCTTGCCCCCATTTAGATAGGCCATACCCCTCCCGAGACACCAGGGTTCCACTCGCCCTCTCACTTGAGCCTGCTCTGCTTCGGGCAGAGGGAACTCGCCGGGCCTCCGGGTCAGCAGCCGCACCCGGCTAATTATAGCCTGCGCTGGCGGGCTTCGGCCCCGGGCTTCGGGTGCCCGAGCTCCGACACCCAATCCCCTGGGCCCCGACCCGAGGTGACCTCCTTCTCCTTCCACCTGTAGGTCACGTCCTGGTGCTGAGCGAGGCAAATTCGGATGCCAAAGAGGATGCGGGGTTCGGGTGGAGTGGGCCAGGACGGTAAGGCTGCCCGCCCTCATCCGACAGGGCTGGAGGGAGCGGGCGAAGGAGAGTCTGCACCGCGCAGACCCGCGGGTACGCCGGGCAAGAGGAGTGAAGCGCGTTCTGGGGCAGTCCTGGGCTTCTTCGACTGTTGATTTTTTTTTTCGTGTGCGGTAAAGCTGGGACTCTTGGAGCAAACAACGCTGACGTGAAGCGCCAACGTAACCCGGGTGGGTCGGTAAAGGGCGGAGGGGTAGGGAAGATGGAGGGACGGGGGACCCTAAGTGACCTACTCCCAGTGCGGGATTTCCTCCTTGTCCCGAGGTGGAGTCGGTGGTGACATAGCGAAACCCAACCCAGTATCTTCAGAAGAGTCTGGAGGAATCTAACACCTTGGTCACTGGCATGACGACCAGATGGTGAAATGTGAGGTTGATCTCTGTTGCTGCGGGGACCGGAGTCCTGAACTGGATGGGCTTGGCGAGCGCAAGCATTCTCTGTTTGAGGCAGGACACCAACAGCCACTCTCTTTACCCGAAACAACACACCTTTCTCATCCTGCGACCTAAAAATCCAGGCAGTCACTTTTCCCTACAGTTCCAGGAATCCTCATGGAGAAGGAATTTATAGAAGGGGGCAGCGATCATCCTTCCCTCCCCTCTCCCGGAGAGGTAGCACGGGCCGAAGGCTGCTGGGGCTGGATTCCCTGGCTCATATAAATAAAGGTTGGTCCAAGATGGGTAGATTAACCCGACAATCTGACTTAACCCGGGAGCGAAGCAAGGTTGCTCCTTAGGACTCAGGAGAGAGGGGGCGGTGTTCGTGTTGGGGAGGGGCGGGCAGGTGAGTTGCTCAGCACGGCACCGCCCCTCCTGTCCGGCCCTCGGAGTTGTCCCAGCTCTCTACTTGACGCTTTGGTACCCCCAGCGACCTGGGGTAGCGGGATTAGTCAGAGAGAGGCAGCCTGTGGTCGTCCTAAACCGAGAAAGGGGCGATAGTGACCAGCTTCTGCACCCTCTCTCCCCAATTCAGATACTTTAGACCCCTCTTATGGCCTCCTCCCGAGACGACTCGGACAGCACCTTGAGTCCCCACCAGAAAGAGAGAACCGCCATTGGGTGGAGAAATACCTGAGGTTGGTTTGTGCTCCAGCAAACACTCCGCCCCCCCACCCCTCAAGGAGGAGGACACTGGACCCCACTCTGAGTTCTATGCCAACTCCATGGTCCTGGGACTGCATCCGATACCTGTCTCTGGAGGCTACGTGTCTCTGCCACGGTGAGACACATGCCCCACAGCAAAACTGGAGAGCTTGGATAAAACCGGCTGTTCTGGGCGATCATCCACCTCCATTAAAGCCTTGGGTCTAACACTGCCCATCTCCCACACCCATAGCACCTCCAGGCCTAGTAGCCTTTCTCCTGGTTGATGATGTGCCGGCTGGAGAAGGGTCTTGGCATCTCAGCCTCGACTGTGCTGTACTCCTAAGAAGATGTTGGGAGAATTCAGGGTCCAGGCCTGGCAAAGCCCAAGTGCACTTTGGCTGGGTCATGGGAGTCATGGTAGCAGATCAGAACTCACGGTTCCCAAAGGTTGGGATCTAGGCAGGAAAGAGAGAACTTCGCTCCGGAGTTCTCGGATGGTACCTCTGAGGGAGAGAGGAGGGGGCTGATGGTGACCTAGGTTTCTCTCTCACCACCCTCCTCCCCCAAATCCATTGCAAGCTTAATATCTGGGGCATCATCTTCTCTACCTGCAGCAGCCTTGGATCACTGCTCAGGCGGGCATAGGTATGAGCTCAGGGCTCTGCTGGGCAGTAGGAAGTGATTCTGAGTGAAAATTAAAGGAGCCACATCCCCATCCCCACCCCAGGGCTCACCTAGTTCCTTATCCGTTCTCAGCTTCAGTCACCAGCCTATCTATCTCAGCCATCTCCACCAATGGCAAAGTCAGGGCTGTTGTGACTGTTATCACTCAGGGCCCCCAGTCCTGTCAGAAATTCCTGAGACCACAGATGGGCTCCTCTTTCCTCTTTTCTCAGGCGGCATACTTGCTTATCTCGAACAGCCTGTGCTCCAGATTTGGTGGTTCTATTGGGAGGGATCATCTTTGCTTTTGCCAACGTGGTAGCTATGGCGTTCCACATGGCAGGCTTTGTGGACACCTTTTCTGACTGGCTCCAGGTACTGCCCATCCCTACCTTTGGTGCACCCTTTTCTCAAGTCAGCTGACCACCCAGTCTCCACCTTTTTTTTTTTTTTAATTGGGGAATTGGGGGGATGGGAACAGTGCTGGGGAATTAGAGGAAGGGGAACAGGCAAGTTCAGTCCTTTTGTTCTTCAGTCTAGTTGTGGAGGACGTTGCTTCACTGGCCCAAGTTGGCACCATCATTGCGCTCTTCCCGGGCAAGATAGATCAGTCGCCGGCTTCTGGACGGCCGCTCTCTGCGGCTGCTGGCCGCTCACGCTGGCTGCTGGCTACATATGGTAGCCCATGGCAACCCACTGCCACAGGGGCTGCTGTCACCAGCGACTCACGGCAGCCAAGCTCCAGGTTGAGCTGTTGTTCAGCATCTTAGCTGTGGAGGGCAGTGTCACTGGCCCTCATATGTAGGATCCGAACCAGGGCCCTCTCGGCCGGCCCAGTGTGCACTTTTTGTGACTCCAACCTGGGCAAGTCATTTTAAGAATTAGACGGAGGCATGAAATCAGCCAGTAAAGTCTCTGTGACCCCCTAGCTTTGAGTCCTGCCATTCTAGGAGCATGGCGTGCAGCTGTGGGACATGGATCCCAAAAATGGGTTGTGGGTCGTGGGCAAGGTGACTGTGGCTGCCTTTCTTGGTGAGATGCTAACCTGCGTGGAGTAGAAGTCTAAGGCAGGCGAGGGAGAATCAAGGTGGGGATGAGAAGACTGAGGGGATGGCAGGAAGAGCTAGACAGATCTGGGAGGGGCCACATTTGGGGTGATGTGGGATTTTGTGTGCATGCGTGCATAAGCACGCGCGTGCACGTGTGTGTGTGTGTGTGTGTGTGTGTGTGTGTGTGTGTGTGTGTAGCTGGCAGAGCTGATCTCCAGGGACCCAGACCTGAAATGAGACGACTTTGCTGGGAGAAACTCCACACACCAGTTATTCAAGGGGAAAGTAAGGACTCATTCTGAGGATCTGTTGGGATGAGCACTAAACAAGACGACCAGATGAGAAATGCTATTTCTTGCTCCCAGATATTTACATTCTTGAGGTTCACCCTTCTGGCATGGGAACTTTGCAGTTTGAGGCAAGAAGAAAAAGAACACCCATTTAGCCATACTCTATATATATGGGAAGAGTCCGCTGGGAAAGGAAACTAGAGGATTGGAGAAGATGGTGAAGACAAGAAGGGAGGAGGCAGAGTAGTAGTTACTCCTCCCCCTCTGCTCACATTTCTCCTTTTTTTTTTTCTGTCACTTATGGTATTCCAGGCCCCAATTATCTTCTTCCTGATTCTCCTCTCTTTTATCAACTATCTGCTTGGGACACTCCTTCCTGCAAATCCTAGCCAACAAGCCACTGGCTTCTTTGGGTACCTAGTGAGACAGTGGGAGGCTGGCTGAGAAATGCATTAAAGGGAATGAGTGCCTCAGAATCTCACCACATTAGCCCAAACCTCCTCAGAAAAGACCCCTTGACTTCTGATTCCATGTCATTTTCAAGTTAACCATCAGACCACTCCAAGTCCTATAAGTCCCAGGGGCTGGCTAGTTTGCAAAGTTCAATTATTCTTGCCAGCCTAACCTAAGTCACTGACATTAAACTGGGTAGAGGGGTAATGATCTTAGCTGAATGAAGGGAAGCCAGGAGGTGCTCCTGAAAAACCCATTTTTTCTCCATTCTTTTATGTAGGGAGCATTTTCTTGGACTATATGATCCCACAGTGGTGTGGTCCAGAGCGCAGTTTCTTTGGTATGTTTTCCATCTTCTCTTCAGCCACTGGGGCACTCACCAGGAAAAACAACTCTGGGAACCTCAAGGTGAGAAGGATGTCCAGGCATGGAACACACTCTCCGTCTCCCCTCCTATCTCCACTAATGGTTCAACTACAGCTATCCCCAAAGAAAGCCTCCTTGCCATCATGGACCACACTTTCCTACTTGGGCATCTCTGCCACCATTTACTAATGGTGGCCCTCCACTCCTGCCTTTTGTGCAGAATGACCTGGAGCCCTGCTTTCTGCTACTCTGAGGTGGTAGGGCATAACTCATAAGTGATGAAAGGAGCAAGAGCATTCATCAAATACATTAAAAGTACTTTAAATGCAGCCCCTTCCTCCTTTACCATTTCTCCTCATCCTTCATTTCATTAATGAATTGTATAGTGTTTTATGATTATCAGATTTGGTCTCCCCCTCCCCCTGCCCCATGCATGCACACTTCTATTCACCCACGACACTGGTGGTACCTAGTTAGTCTGACTGCTTTGGAATAGGTCCTCTCTCCCATGAAGGAGTATGTGTCTGTAATCTCGTCTCCAGGCTCCTGTAGAATTTGAGAAGCTTCAGGAAATAGGACTGACGTGAGTGTGCACAATGGGAGCTGCCTGGGGCCAGAGCGCCCGTATGGCAGGGATTTCAGCAGTTGTCGAGAGCAAGGGTCCTGCCTCTGCGGGCTCTAGAATCACCACCAGGCGAGTGAGCCAGAGGGGAAGATTTGAGAGATAAATCCTACCTAGCCCACTGCTGAGAATAGAGAAGATGCTCAAAAATCAGTAACGACTTAAATGGATTCATGTGGGTAGGGTAAAACCTTCAAAGGTGGGATAAAATTTAATATGTCCTGCAACTTTTGGGAAATCTATGTGAAAATATGGGTGGGAGGCGTTGCTTCTGGAATGCACTGATTTCTTCCTCTGTCTGCCCTTCTCCTCAGGCCATGAGCATGGTGTCTGCCTTCAGTCGCCTGATGTCTGCAGGAATCATCAGTGCTACCCTGTCTTCTCCTGCTTTGTTTCAGTCCTCAAATTCTAGCTTAGTTGGTACCTTAGCAAGAGGCTTGCGGGAGAAAGGAGGGAATGTAAGTAGACAGGGACATCCTAAGAGTCTAATGTTTTGAGGAGGAAAAGCAAAACAGGGCTCTGTCTCAGCAACCAGGAGTTAGATGGTGATGACTGTGGTTGGCTTGCCTATCAGAGATAATCCAAGCTCACATAGCAAAATGCATTCTGCCCATAAATCAAGGCAATGTTTGGGGAGGGCAT